GGCGTTTTTTTACAAGGTGTACCTACCTACTGACGGTAATTTTTGACATGGAAAGTTTTAGCTAATTTTGCAAAAATAATAAATGAATGGCAAACTTTTTCGAACGTACAAGTAACAAGAAGTGTCTTGACTTAACATCCAGGATGTCTAGCATCAGGATTTTCCCGATTCTATCAGGATTTGAGGAAAAATCGGTCGTAAAATCATGATTTGAGAGAAGTCGACCGTCCGATCGGATTTTTCTATCGAGCTATTTTTGTGAAGAGACATTCGCCCTCCGCAAAAAATCAGAATTTGGAAATATTATGAAATCAGGATTTAGGAGTCAAAACTTAGGACTTCCCAAAATGAAAAAAATACTAGACACCATGCATTCATGATCAAAATCGACTACTTCTGTCAATCCGGACAGAACATTAAGTGCGAACAGACTCTGTCATTGTTGGGGGATTTGTTGAATGGGAAACCACTCTACGTCATTTCTTGGAAACTTCCTTTGTACGAAGAAAGCTGCGTGAAAACTTTCAGGAATTATATTAGATACTTAGTTCTCCTTCAAAGAAATAAAATAGGACCGGAGTTTTTCAAAGACCGTAAACGAGATAAGTGGTCCGATAGTTTTAACGACAATTTTTATTTCACTTCTGGGCTACTATGCTTCATAGTAAGAAAGCCACGATAAATTGACGTTTTTAAGAAGTTAACAAACCTAGATGTCAGTGACACGGATCGTTTTGGTACAAAAACGTCGTAACTGTAAAGATTTCGTTTTATGAATTACCTTACATTTCAAGTCGAGAACAAGCAACACCCTACCCCCCTATGAACTTTGAGAATCCTGTGTTGAGACAGAAGCAACGAGAAATATATAATTATAATGGAGCCGTACAAGAGGGTCTTTCAAAAGGAAGAAAAATAAAATAAGACATCATTGGTCAATTAATGACTTAATATGATATGAATGATATTTAAATGATAAGACTTGTAGACTGTTTGTAAAATTATGTATTTCTGAGATAAAAAAAAAAAAAATCATTGGTAATGCAATCAATGTCTTGAAATTTTGATCGATGAGTCTCAGAGTATACGAAAGTTTCCAGCATCAGAAACTGAACATCAACTCCAGATCGGATTATTCACCCAAAAACTTTAAGTCAGATTCCTTGCCATGCTGAACAGTTTGAGATTTCTCTATAAAGATCCTTTGCCTGACTCCATTACGTGTATTCTTAAACTAAAAAATCAGAATTTTGAAGGCGTACTTAGGATGAGATTCAATAAGTATTTTTTAAGCGAAGATTCTTCTTACATTATTGGAAAGAAGGACTTGAAAGGTTGTTCGGTATCAAAATCAATTTATTTTATTAAATTTATAAATCAAAATTGAAAGTACAAAAGTTTTCATCACTTGAAATGAATGAGAGTAACTTGAAGCTATGGTGAGTAACACATAATTAAAGGGGGAGAATAAAAAAGGAAAAAAATAAGGTCACAAACAGAAACGTAAAAATAAAAAACAGACCGTACTGAAATCCTTCATTTATGACTTGCGTAAAAATCAATATAATTACAGGATAGTAACAGAAAAAAGGTAAATAATATAATTGTACCACAATATTTAACTTTTCAGGAATAAAGCGACGAAGGTTCCGATCAGGGAAATAGTAACACGAGATCAAGGATTCTAGGAGTATAAAAAAACACAGGAGTGATAAATTACAAAGGGCTACCAATCAAAATGAATACTTCAAAAAAGTGATGTTACAGAGTAGGTGGTAAAATATTACATTTTAAATTTTGTTCAGGATAAATGCATGAATAAGGCCAAATTTGTGTACAATTAGAGAAAATTGATGAATTGAGCCTAATAAAGTGACAAGAAAAACATGTCGCTGGCGATGATGAGATGAACGCTTTGTTGAATAGGGAAATTTTAAATTTCCGGCGGAAAATTGATGTGAGTTATGTAATAAAATTTCTACTTCCGTCGATTGTTATGATGTGTTCAAATAATGTTTCCTCCTCTCTTATGAGTCCAGCCATGAGAGTTTTATTTGCCTGTCAGGTTCTCTGGTTTTAATCTCTATAAAAGACAGTCGCACGGCAGAGAAAATGAAAATGGAAATTTACTTGATTTGTGTAAAATATCAACACAGTTGACCCCATTAAATATTAAATTGAGGAACTCCAGTAACTTAGAGCACTTGAAAGTTTGCAAAGATTTCTTAAGACACTTAAAATGAATGAGTATTTAACCATGACAAAACTAATTTCGATATGAAGACGAAAAACAAGCCAGAAATTTTGTAAAAATGTCATAATTTTATAGGTATAATGGTGTGACTGAGAGATGAGAGGTCTTGGAAATTATTACTAGACTTTAAGAAGCTCTTAAAAGTGACCCTAACAAAACAAAACATAAGAACGAAAAAACAAATACACATTGAGGTACTTATAACTAATAATAGCAAAAGCAAAATCCTAGGGGCCAAACATATGAGCTAAATTTTTCAGTTTGAGAAATTTGCAAAACAAAATTGTGAAATAATAGAGGAAGGCCTTTACTGTTCTTTTAAAAACCAGAGATTTGGAAGCAGCGCGCTAGTAGGTTGTTCGAATGTTGACATCATGGGTCTGTGTTCAATAGTTTTTCTTGGCTTTTTATAAGAAACACATAACCTTTCCAACACCTAAAATGGATTGAGGACCTATTTTTTCTGTTGATAATGTTTGCTCACAGAATCTTAAGAGCCCATCTTCATTTGATGAAGTGACTTGTTCACTTCCAAGAGGATAGCAGTTCTAAGGAGTCTACTTTTTCGTTGATGCTTCATTAATTGACTGTAAATGAAAATTAAGAGAATTGACTTAATTACTTCTCTTCAGAGTCAAATAGACATATTTACCCTGAAAGGAATAATCTCGCATGCAAACCCGGTGCGCAAAGTTCTTTCCAGCATTAATGCGCCCATTTGAAAGACAAGGAGCTTAGGAAAACTGTGACTAATGAGAGAAACATTTCAAGAGACAGACACCTCAAAACAGTAAATATTCCGACTCGGAAGATTGTCTTCGGATTATTTCAACGAGCAATTTAGTAACGAATGCTATCATGTTGTCAGCACTAAAACAATCGATACAGCACACTTTAAAGCCCTGCAAATTAAAACATTCATTCGATTTGTCATTTTATGAAATGCAACAACCTCCACCACCAAAAGAACCAAAAACTTAATTTTGCTACAAGCCCAGGAAAGCCTTAATATACTAGAAAACATTGTAGCAAGGACATCAAGTAGAGTATAACAATGACAAAGTAGTTAAATGATAAAATGAAAAAGAAAATAAGTTGACCCTCTGACAGACCATCCTTGTTTTTCAGTTTTGAATAGAAAAATAATGAGGTATCAGATGTGTGTGAAAAATACCGACCCTGATCGAAAAAGGGCTTTCACTAATTCTACTTTCAGTTCATGCGTTCATGAGTGACTTAACCTTATCTTTTCTGGTCCTTTTGCCAAGGTACGAGAGGGATTCATCAGGCGATCTTAACATTTTCAAAATCTTTGAACATCTACCATGAAAAAATAATATTTCATTCATTAAAAGAAAAGTTAAGAGCTGCTTTTCATTAGATGAGTCTCAAGACAAAGAACAGTAATATGTTTGAGGCTGAACTTGTCCTTCCATCAAACAAACATAAATACAACAAGATCTTCAACATTCATAAGGCATCACGACTTCAAATTTTAACCTAAATTGACTTACAAAATAAGGGTGAAGGAAAAATAAGCCCTCACAAAAAACTAGATCACTAACCTGAATGGATAATCTCACAGAAATGCTTCAACTAATATACAAAAAAGCTGCAAAAGCTGATTCAGATTCTTTCAATCTGCTAGGGCTAGATCCATCAGTATAAATTTGAGAAAATAGATACAGCCATAAACAGAATCCAGCTATTTGAAGTGAATCTATTTTTGAGAAACTTTAACAACTTCAGCAACTCAATGAGAAAAAAAAGACAGGAAAAAATGGTACAACTTAAAAATGCTCGGTTTCCTTCCAAATAAGCCCCAATATGTACAGCACGTTTCAGCTTACTTGTCCTTCTCCGTTTTACAGGCGTTATAGGGAATTCTCAATTCCGCACATACTGCGAATAAGGACAAGTTATCTGAAACAGGCTCTAGCAGAATATGCTTCCCTCGATCTAAAATACAAGGATTGAAGAGCATGTGTCCAACATTTTTATAATTGTAATTTCAAATTTTGAGTGCTGCAGGAACCTTTTTTTAAATGCTTAAAATAGTCACCAGCCTATTTAACACCGCTGAGTCGATACGAAATTCCAATAGGTGCACCACTAGGGCATCAATACCAAGAAAAATAATGATAGAATACTTAAAATAAATACAGTAGTAAGGTCCCGATAATGCTCTTTGATATTGAACACAAAATAATTTAGTTTGTTAGAATAAGAGATGAGTAAAATTCCAATAGAGGTACCATTCAATTGCGGTGGGTTATAATTTTCCCACGTAACTAGAAAGCATGAAGTCAAAATATTTCATCTGCTTCATAAACATTAATAAGACCATAGAAATCTCGAGAATTGATTAAGTCCAGACAGATGGTGGTCTGAAATGGACGTATTTCTGTCAAACGGAACTAAGCGCCATAGGAGGAGGAAGGTAGAGGGGGGCTTGGATTGGCGGCAGAATCGGGCGTCGGGTTCATTCCGTCCTATACTTACAAAACTTTTCCACGGCACTTAGTTCTGTTTGATAGAACGCGCTATCCGGGATTCTAAATTCCTCAAAAGGGAATCAAGTTGGCGCTTAGTTCCGTTTGACAGAAATACGTCCAAATGTTACACACAGCTGCAGAGGAACTTGAAATAAAAATGAAGGAAAAAGTTGAATATCGCATAAAAGGTGCTCATCTTTTCATTTTAACATTTGGATTTAAAGTTTAGAGAGCAATTTGATGAATTGTTGTGTGTTGGTCAAAATAGGATACAATGTAATCATTACATCTACAGATACATTTTCAGATTAATGCCATTTATACAAATTTTTAAAACGTATTTCTGTTAGCTGATTTGATCTTATTTATCTAATTGGATTAGAGAAGTCAAAGAATTAAAGGTAGGATGTTCTCAGTGAAAATATATTGCATTCAATGTTAAAATTATTTGAATGGAAAATAATATCTTTCTTCTAAGAAATCCCTGTCTTCATTTTAGGAATTGTTGTGTAAAGCTAGCAGCAATGGTATCTCAAAATTTTCATGACAGTGACAGATGACTGAAAATACGGACATACTTGGTGCAATATTTAACAGGTTGGTTTGACCAGCTTTGGAATCCCCTGAGAAGAGGAAGTAAGAAAAATCGGTTGAAATACAATTGTGCGTTTTATACTCCCTTATTTTAAGGGAAACATTTCAACTTTTACATTGATGCTTCGGTTGGTACAACCCACAAAATTATACAGAATATAATATACATACTTAAATACAAATAATAAATTAAAAGCAGGAACAAAAAAATAAAAAAGGGTGAGGATAATGCACTTTGTTCTTAGACGTAAGCCATTTCAACGAATGAAAACTAAGCGATTAAAAACTAGAATTGCAACATGAGAAAGAAAATTAAATAAAAAAAACTTTCATACAATCCTAAATCATCCTGAGAGGAAGTCGTAGAATTTAAGACAAGCACAGAATTGAGATGGGGTCCTTGATCAGTTACAATGAAGACTTCTTGCGAGAGAATTGTACGTTTATACAGGATTGTTCGATTCTCACTTGATGAAAGGATTGATCAAAATTGGTCTCTAGGTTTGGACTGCCATAAAAGGCAATGATTCGACCATTTTCGAGTAGAATTCATTCTTGTTGGGAGAAAATAACAATAAATAATTTGGAGGATACTTTGCATGAAAATAAAGTCGCATGAACCTTTCCATGAAATTTGCAGCATCAATTCTTTGTTGGCTTAAAACTGCGGTTTGTGAAAAGACCTGGTTGGATGATGAAACTCAGGTTGCACTCATAGGCAATTGATGAGGAAGCTGAATGATCTAAAACTTTATTTGACAATTTATCAAGATAAATGATCATAGAGATCAGGGATAGGGAGGATAGGGGGGGGAGGATTCATCAAACACATTCATTATGCTTCCAGATAGATTGAGAGTTTGATTATGCAACCACGTCTTAAAAGCAAACCAGAGCCAATTTCTAAGTCGCCGTTTCATCATTTTAAAAGGTAAAATAAATAATCACGGGAGGCACGGTACGTTCTCATTTCAAATGCTCTGAAGCCAGAATTCAGATCACACCAAAGATCTTACCATGGGCTCTAACAGATTCAACAGGAATAATTTAAGATACATTTAACAGTGGGATCAATTGAAAAACACAGTCTTTAATTTACTCCGATGGAGTTAAATCTCTTTCGACTTCGTGTTCACTGAGTAACTGAATAAGAAGCTCATGAACTGGTTCAAAACACTTGTGGTAACCAGCATTAGTTGGTCTCAGGTAATCTAACATATCATGGTGGCTGATTGTACCATCCGGTTGGACTAGTTCCTTGCTAATATCAATGTATTCCAGTTTCGGGAAATTTGCAACTTTCGAACAAATTTCTTTGTTCGTTTCTGCGTAAAGTTTTCTAAGTGGGTTGTCATGTTGACCTCTCGGCAAGATGCTCTGTGAAGAGAAAAATAAAAAGAGTTAAAAATGGTGGCAAAGTTGTGAAGAGAGTTGGACATACTTTCTTGATCAGCATTACCAGCAAGAAAATAATGACCTTACTGGTGAGAGACAACCTCGTGAGCACAAAAAAAAATTGAAAATTAAACACTGTGCAAATTTCGAAAGGCCAAAAAGTGACTTTTTTAGCACTTTCACATACAATTACAAAGGACTTTGCAATATCAGATTGGTGATCAAGGAGAGCCCTTTTTTTTCGACAGCCAGTAGATGAATGCATACTCTCACGTTTCTTAGTTTTTTGGCGAGAAGGAGCCAAAATTCTTCCAAGAAATAACAGCATACGGCGCATTGACTTTTAAGCAAAAGCACAGCTGAAAATCCAGTTCAAAAGTAATGCAACATCTCCACGTAAATCTGCCACGAAATTCACTTTACAGCCCAAATTTCCTCAAAATTGACACATAGAATGATCAATTTTTAAAGCTAATTGTGTTTAGGAGGTCATAAAGTATACCTAAAAAAACAAAATATTGTCAGTGCCAAACTGCATCATATCTAATGAAAAATCCTTTTTGTAATATTCTACCACTTTAAATGAAGATAGGATTTAATATCCTGATGTCTCCATTTTTTGGTGGCAGCCCTCAAATAATTCCAAAGTACCGCCATCAGCGATTGTGAGGTAGGCAATTACTGCATCCCCCCCTCACTTTTTTAATTAAGAGAATGTGCTTGCTGAGACAAGGAACATTTACAATTAATACAAGAGATGATAATGATTTGATTGTGCTTATATAAATAAATACAAAATAAATATAAATTCGCATTGTTGCAAACCGAGTAAAAGATATTCTAGATTCGATATTAAAATTTAGTATGTTGGAGTTTTTTTGCCAACATGCCTTAAAATTCAGCATAAAGCTGAAATTGTCAATATAGAGGGAAAAAGCTCATACGAGCATAGTTTTCCCTCAAAGAGATATGCTGTTTGGTGCAACACTAGTTACGTCCATTCAGGAATTGGCCCAACAAGGCCGAAACGAGTCTGCAGTTGCCTTCCTGAATGAACGTAACTGGTGTTGCACCTAACAGCATATCTCTTTGAGGTAAAACTGTGCTCATATGAGCTTTTTCCTGGCCCAACAAGACCGAAACGAGTCTGCAGTTGCCTTCCTGAATGGACGTAACAGGTGTTGCACCTAACAGCATATCTCTTTGAGGTAAAACTGTGCTCATATGAGCTTTTTCCCTCTGTATTGAGAATTTCAGCTTTATGCTGAATTTTAACGCATGTTGGTAGAAAAACTCCAGCATACTGTCTTACGAGCCGTGCATCCACCGCAATCAGTTTGGGATTGAAATTTAACTGCTTTAATCTTCACAAATCACTTTTATTCTCAGCAAGGTGTTCTGGCTACAGTTAATGACATATCCACAGCGTAAGTCTGCAATCACATATCTTGTTTGCGGTGTCTGAAAATCTCCGCCTCAATGTTATTTTTTTAAAGGAGAACAAATCGACATCATTCCTTGAAATTTTTGCAGAATTTTCTTCACACAGAGAAGAAAAATCACGGCAGTTTTATAGAATTGCCGTTGAGTGGTTTTCCATTCAAAAAATAAGTGTGGCAGGAAGTCTGTGATGTTGCAAACCAAGTTTTGAAATTACCGACTGACACCATCGATATGGGGTTAATGCCTGAGTTGAAATAAAATTATGTTGAAAACTTACACATATAACTATGTTGGTTTCTGGAAGCTTCGATCTGATAGCATTTGCAATCTCTAAGATTCCTGCTGATATTTGATCTGGGGTGTTTGATGTGTTGTAAGTGCCGACATGAACAACAACCACCTATCAAAAAAAAAAAAGATTAATTTAATCTTGAAAATATCTGCAAGGATTCTGGATTATCTAATTAATGATGCAATGGGCATAGAATTGAAAAGGAATAATGAAAGAAGAAAGAAACTTTGTTACCATTGTGTTATTCAACTTAGCAATTACCATATTATCCAGTTGTAGAAATGATGATGTTTTGGATACGTTGATGTTTATTTTGTATCATCAATACTTTCATAGCAATTTTCGGACAATCCAAGGTGAAGAGAAAGATATCGACGCAAAAACCTTTTTGTCACTAAAAATTTGTATTTTCGCCACAGGAAACACTCCCTAGTTTATGGTTCAAACCTACAAGAATGTAAAGTTCTATTAATTTAATTCCACTTCGTTTCTAAGATAAAATGTTGAAGTATTACTTTTGATAAATTTTAAAGTAACCCTCCAAAATGTTTATAGAACTCAGCGTTTTTTCGAATTTAACCTGTTATAGTAAGAGTTGACTGCAGCTCATACTTTCTTTCCCTGAAAATTTTGCTTTTCAAAAAGACTATCTTAAAATTTTTCATGAATGGAAGCGTAGTAATTACCTTAGGTTTCACATGATCAAGAATACCATCATTTATTCGCCATAAAACATGCTGAGTCTCATCAAATTCGATCCCAAAATTCAGGCAGTGCAAAGGTTCAAACAAATCATGCCAAATTGACCGGAGCATCAAACAGTGGATGATAGAATCTCCAATTAGGACAACTTCAGGTTCGCGTTCTAGACCTTCCGCTAAATTTCGTTTGTGCTGGAAAATGAAAACAAAGAACTCACTTACACAAGACGAAACTAGGAAAGTAATTTAAAATAAGTTGAAAAATTAGTCAGAAAATTTTCCGATGTAACAGCAGTAAAGATCAGAAAGAAACTTAGTCAAGTAACTGACAAATTCTGGGATTGGAGATTTGAATAAATCTGATTGTAGGACATTCTTTATCAGAAAACCTACAAATTTTTTTTTAATACCTGTCGCTGCTTCATGGTAAGATAAATTGTTTAAAAGTAGATTGTTTGAATGAAAGAATTAGATTATATAAACATAAATATTCAAAGGGATGAGACCACTTGATTAATTCAGGGGACTTTACCATTAGCTGTGCTCAAAGGAGTCATTGAAAATCATTTCTTAAAATTGCACTTTTTGAACTGCTGACTTCGAACTTCTCTAACTCGAATTTGGTTTGACATCGTGAAGTTTCGAGCTCTCATGTGCCTGTAAAACGCTCTTTGAAGCAGCGATACTAATGATTCAATTCCGAATTGTTCAGAGCAAAGATTCCTTTTCTCTTGGACAATATAATATGGACAGAGTTTAATAGAGAGGCACCAAGTCTCATCAAGTTTGAAGTCACATTCTTTTAGTAAAACTCAATGATAGGAACAAAGTTTGCCCCCTTTTTTCACGTTCAAAATAGTATTTTTCGACTTGGAATTTGTGACTGCAGTGAATCTTTAACGAGTTGCATTCAAAACTACTCCCAACTCACTTTTTCCAGGATGCGATAGGATGCATTTCTTTTAAACGCAGCCCAGAAGTAGATTCTTTGGCTTTTTGACAGGTTGTAGGTGATGTAAGTACCTACTTTAGTTTCTTCAGTGACCAACTGGTCTCTTTAAGATAGTGTTTTTCCCAAAACGCCTTGAAAAAAATACCCTTGTCTTTCTTAAAAAATATTAATTTACAAAACAACCAATGAAGCTAAATTCTAGACACACTATTAGAGGGCAAAACTGCATTTTTGAAAATTAGAAGTTAATTAAATATATACAATTCACGCAATGTGTTATTCGGTGACCTACTGACAGTGAAACTACAAAAACGCATAACGTGGTTCACATCACTGCAGACTTGCTGTCATTATTTAATTTTTTCAAAATAAGAAAAACTTCGCAGTTCGCGTCGTTTCTCAAAGGCGTCTCCTATTTATCCTTTCAGTCTGCAGAATATACGGTGAAAAATTTCAAGCAATAGTGCTAGTTCATCTTCCTCTGATAGAATGAAATGGAAGTAGAGATTTTGAAACACCACAAACGAGATAAACATTTTTGAGTTTCATTGTCGATATTTACTTACCACTTGGCCAATTAACTACTAAAGCTCATGCATTGAACAGAAAGCAAACTATTCATTGTGACTGAAATTGAATGTTGGATCATTGTGGACATTTTTAAGGAAATAGGGTGAGTTTCCTGTTCCAATTTTCATTATTTCCGTAGAAATTGTATTGAAAATTTGAAGAGCTAAACACAAGCTACAAGGAGTAGAGACATTATAATTAAATAAAAGACATTCATAGAAACTTGGATTTAGTACCCACCTGTTAAATTCTAGATATCCAACTTCATGTTCTCCTAATAGTATTACGGATGCAATAGCGTCAAGGAACCATTAAACGAAAATAAACTGCACATGCAATCACACTAGAACTTTGGATGAAAGGGTAAAGGTAACACTGCGCTGCTCTTTAAAAACATACAAATTGTTTAAACAGACTAGCAGTGATCCACTTGATACAAATATTCCTCTCTAATTGCACGCTGCTCCAACCTCAACTGATACTACATATGAAGGCATATTTTTCAAGTGGTTAGACCAGATCTGAATATGAAATCAGTGGTTTAGTATTGCATGATATTTAAGTCTCAAAAGCTACTGTGCTGTCCTATATTGCCTTCCTCTCAATGCTCCAACTTGTTGGGGAAGCACCGCTACCTCTTGAAATTGTTTATAAGTAAAACTACTTTTGAGGTTAAACATTTAGAGGGATTGGTATGCTATCAAAATCATTGATCCTCAAGACGGTCAAACACTATCAGAAAGTCCATCATACCACAAGTATCTTGAATTAGTGAGGCATTACACATGATCTACATTTATCAATATGTATTCACATTGATAATTGATTTGCTTGAATAGTATTTTCAGCGTTGTTTTGGCAGCAAGTCACTACGGCATTTCAAATCTTCCTGACTCGCTCACCTGATAAGAGAAGTTGTGAGACAAGTCTGGTAAAAGGTTTTTTGCACTCATCTCTGATCTTGGAGCCTGGAGTAAAAACCTGCCAGGAGTTGAGCTTGGATGATTCCGATTACGAGTTTGATAGGAAATGAAAAAGTCCGGAGTGAACTGAGCTGGACCTTAATATAGGTAATATGACAGAGTGGTAGGATGCAAACATCAAGATATACTTCCCCTTAAAGTAAACCATAAAATAAAGTTGATGAAGTTATACCGTTCACATACTTATCAATTCGCATAAAGTGAAAACGTACAGATCAAAGCATTTACGCCATGAAGAACAAGTGCAGATACCTACATCAAACCAAAGTTATTCAAGCGTGAAATTAGTTGAGTACAAGACAATATTGAAGTGGATGTTTTTAAATAGATTGAAATCAAGAGAAAAGAGGTTTATCTTGAAGAAGAGTGTACCTGGCTCATCCACCTGCCGTCGCCAAGGGTGTCTTGAACCATCGTTGGTATAACACAGGGATTTGACATGACTGAAACACAATAGTTAAGCTCAAAAGAATTTATTCACCGGAACTAATTTCAGAGTTCAGTTCCACTGCACACGGATAGGAAATTATTCACTTTTCACTTCTTCACTTTACAGCGTGCTGTTTTTCTACTAATCACAGCAGGTTCTTACTTCTTATCGCTTGAAGCAAGTTTGCAGAGAAAGCAACGTGAAATGTCCCCAAAACAGAAAACATTCTTCACAGTAAATTTGAAAATCAATGATACCCTGATGTTAACTGCATGACAATAATAATTCAAAACAAAATACAGCCTAATTTTAATACTGCCTGTAAATCGGCAACTGAAGTTTTCTAAGTGTTCAAAGTGCACAAAATTTACCACTACGTAAGTACGGAGAATTTTGCGCTTGTCATACCCACCACCTTGAGTTTTAAATTATCGGTGTTGCCGCCTAATCTGTGGTTGCCGCAGTGTTACAGTAGTGTTACAGCTTGTCGGAAAATCATGACGATGTATACTTTCTTTTCGATTCCGGTTGAAAATGTGCCGTTCGAAAATTTTATGAAACACTTTTAAAAATAAATTAAACACTTTTAAAAATAAATTTTAAAAGTTTACACCTTTACCCTAGAGTTCCTTTTACTTTAGGTACCCTAGTAGCAATGGCTCTTTAAAAACATCTACAAAAAGTTGTCAAAAAAAATGTAAAAAACTTGTAAATTTTAAGAGTTAGTTAAGTATATTGCAATAAGTTTCAGTAAATGGGGCCCCTTCAAATAGGAGCTAGGCAACATACACAACACTCAGTTGAATAGCAATATTTACACTATGTAATTACTACGTATTGCAATCTGTGCTACTTGGGGCCCCTTTCACGGTCACATCTTCATAGCGGAACTCGAAAAATGCGTTTTCCAGTTTGCGACGAAAAGTGAAAAATGCGTTTTTCAGTTTGCGACGATAAGTCTCCGATCATGTTCTATTTTTTGAGTGAATATCAACCAACATACTTATAATCATGTATTCTAAGTAAACAGTGGCGTAAGGGACTTCCGCTGGGCCCCCCCGCAAAAATGTTTCTAGCCCCCCCCCCCCCCCC